CATCACGCTTGGACTAGCCGTTGGCTCGTCACGCTTGGACTAGCCATGAGCTCATCATGCTTGGACTAGTCATGAGCTCATCACGCTTGGACTAGTCATGAGCTCATCATGCTTGGACTAGCCGGTGGCTCGTCACGCTTGGACTAGCCGTTGGCTTGTCACCCTTGGACTAGCCATGAGCTCATCATGCTTGGACTAGCCATGAGCTCATCACGCTTGGACTAGCCATTAGTTCACCATATGTGTATATATATATATACTGTATATATACTGTATATACACCCACTGGAAGTACGCTAGATTTGAATTCACTCACTGAACGGCATCCTACGCAGCCTGAAGTGTCAAGCTGTGCTTCAGAGTTTTACACCAAACAGTCCTTTTAGACGCCAAACAGTAGGTTTGATATTCATGAAATACATCTCGTTTAATAAAACTTGTCATTTCTTTTATAAATATTAACAGATGATATTTTGCTCTGCCTCTATAACCAAACAGAGCAGAACATTTATTAATATCTCTTAAACTTACTACAAGAAGTAAATGTCTGCAAGCTGTTGTCAAACAGTAAGTTTACGAGTATATTTCATACATGTTGACAGATGTTCTCCATCTTTGTAATAAATCTTTAAGGTTGTAAGATGACTTGTAGTCAGCATCAAACAGTTCTCCTGTCAAACGTGTGTCTTAAATTATCTGGGCCTGTTTGTGTCTTCCAGGTGGACCTAGTTGTGTGTCTGGTGTGCGGCAGTGGAGGCGATGAAGACCGTCTGTTGCTGTGTGACGGCTGTGATGACAGCTACCACACCTTTTGTCTGATCCCCCCGCTGCACGACGTCCCCAGAGGAGACTGGAGGTGCCCCAAGTGTCTGGCTCAGGTGACCACAGACCCCCAGAGGCAGACATGTTGGACATTTAGAGGGGATTATATGTTGTAAACTGATTAAAAACAGAGGTCTGTTGTTGTGGGACCCTGCCTCCTTCTGTAAAGCAGCAAACACTTTGACATTCACCTTTCAGCTGTAACTTCACTAAGCCTCATAATCACCCGCTGAGCCACTACGTGTGATCAGAAGTTTGCATACACTTATGGACAGAAACATAACATTCATTTAGGATTTATTGTTCTTTTTCTGAGATTCAGTGTTTATAAAACATGAATCTTCAAAGATTTATAAAAACATGAACGGGCTGCAAAAGTTTGAATTTATTGGGACTTTTTTCTAATCCATGCACATCAATTAAAAATAAATATATACATACACCCCCACTAATATTTGGTTCAATATAAATGAGCAAGTTTCCTCCCACACCACAGTTTGTTGCCCCAACAAGCCTCTGCCGTACTTCTAGCTGATGTTTGACCGCTCCTATATCGCTTGGTTTCCTGCCACATAGTCTGCTTTTAATCAAGAGACTCCACAAACACTAACTAGGAGCTGCAGTCAATCATGATCACTAAGCTGAAGTGCTTCGGCCCTGTCAAGTTAAACAACATTCAGAACCTTAGTGTCACTTAATAAAAGACGAAGGTGAGTGTATATTTGAGCAAGTCTGTATAACTTTGACCTGTTATTATTGTCATTAATAACTGTTAATAATTATAACTTTGACCTGTTTTTATTATCAGTAATAACTGTTAATAATAACAATTTTGACCTGTTAATATTGTCATTAATAACTGTTAATAATTATAACTTTGACCTGTTATTATTGTCATTAATAACTGTTAATAATAATAACTTTGACCTTTATTATTGTCAATAATAACTCTTTATAATAATAATTTTGACCTGTTATTATTGTCAATAATAACTGTTAATAATAATAACTTTGACCTGTTATTATGGTGAATAATAACTGTTAATATAACTTTGACCTGTTATTATTGTCATAATAACTTAACAATAATAGCTTTGATCCGTGTTGTTTGGAGAGAATCCACAATAAACTCAAACATGGTAGCCCCGTTTAGTTAAAAATCCCTGGTTTGTCTTATACTCACTTCACTTTGAAAAAGAACGCTTCAGATCAACCATGAAATGATGTGAGTGCCCAGGAGAAAGGTTTGTCACATATGTATAAAGAGGGCTGCTGCTGTAACAACAGCTGCAGAGAGAGAAGCTGCTGTTTGTGTTTGAAAAGAGTGACCACAGCTCCAACAAGCTGCTGATAATTCAACTCATTTTATTTATATAGCACCAAGTCACAACAGAAGTCATTTCAGGGCACTGAACAGAAACATTCATATATGAAAATAATAAGTTATTATTTATCTGAGGAGCAGACTGCTTTGAATTTAACTCCCATCACAGAACTCTCATCTTGAGATGATTGTGCAGCTACCCATCCAGGCTGTCACATTGTAAAGTTTGCAGATGATACAGCGGTGGTGGGATGCATCACAAACAATGATGAGTCCAGCTACAGGCAAGAGGTGGAACACCTGGAGAGCTGGTGCAGAGAGAATAACCTTCACATCAATGTGAAGAAGACAAAGGAGATGATTGTGGACTTCAGAAGGAACAAAAACACCTACACCCCCCTGAACATAAGAGGATCTGCGGTGGAAGTGGTCTCCAGCTACAAGTACTTGGGTGTACACATGAATGACAACCTCAGCTGGAGCAACAACACCACCAGCCTGATCAAGAAAGCTCATCAGAGACTCTACTTCCTCAGACGGCTGAGACGAGCTGGTCTGAGAAGCTCAGTCCTCACCTCCTTCTACAGGTGTGCAGTGGAGAACATCCTGTGCTCCAGCATCAACATGTGGCATGGAGGCTGCACAGCTGCAGAAAGAAAAGCTCTAGAGAGTGGTGAAGGCTGCACAGAAGTCTGTTGGAGTCAGTCTCCCCACCATCACAGACATCTACACCTCCAGATGCAGGAAGAGGGCTACCTGCATCATGAAGGACCTCACTCACCCAGCACACACACTTTTTGCCCCACTCCCCTCAGGAAGGAGGTTAAGGAGCATTAAGTGTAGAACCACTAGACTGAGGAACAGCTTCTACCCTGAGGCTGTTAGACTCATGAATCTCTAACCAGAATAATCACTGTGAAAAAACACATCATGTTGCTGCTGATCTGTTTCATGTTGCTGCTGATCTGTTTCAATGTTGATGTGTTCATGCGTGCACATCCGCTCACACAGACTCATGTTCATGTTTGTGCTGATGTTCAATGTTTTTATGTTATGAGTGCTTAGTGTATATTTAGTTGATGTTTTTCTTAGTTCATATCTTAGATGTTATTACTGTTTTTCTTATACATTTTATTGTTGGATGTAACTGGGACCCTGTGTACATAATTTCGCTCCACCACATGTACCACATGAGGTGCGAATGAAAATAAAGAATCTCTGACTGACTCTGACTTGAGCAAGCATGAAGGCGACAGTGGAAAGGAAAAACTCCCTCATGAGGAAGAAACCTTTAGCAGAACCAGACTCAGGACAAGCAGCCATAAAACGATCATAACGAGGTCCATGATGGTAAAGATCTGTGTTGCATCGTGACGTCACAGGAATTCCTGTCCTTTTCAGGACAGATTCGTGGCTCCAAGGACCAAATATGAGCAGATTATTTAAACCTAGCTTTAAATTAAGTTGATCTTGAGTTTATGAAGATGGTTTTCCATGAAACAGATATTCTATTTCTTGACAAATGTTAAAGTTTTAATGAACAGTTTTACATTAATTACAGAAACTCTAAGGTTTTGTTACCTTTTACAGAATAACATAATTGGCAAGAATGACAGAAGTGAAAGAGAGAAATGCTGATGGAAGCTGCTGCATGCCATGTTTACCACGTAAACATCAAACCTGTTTGACTCTCCCTGTAGGAATGCTGCAAACCTCACGAGGCGTTCGGGTTCGAACAGGCTCACAGGGACTACTCGTTACGTGCGTTTGGGCAAATGGCAGATGCCTTCAAATCAGACTACTTCAACATGCCGGTTCATGTAAGCAGGAGCAGCTGCAACATCAACGTCTCAGTTAAGTGTTCAAAGTGAAAGTAAGAGTTCCTCCTTGCAGATGGTGCCCATGGAGCTAGTGGAGAAAGAGTTCTGGCGTCTGGTCGGAGCCATTGAAGAGGACGTTACTGTAGAATATGGAGCCGACATCGCGTCCAAGGAGTTCGGGAGTGGATTCCCCATTCCCAACGGAAAATTTAAAGTCTCCCCAGCTGATGAGGTACCTCCTTGAAACCAGACATCTGTAATTTAATGTGTAATGGTTGAAGAGGTAGATGTTTTTGCACAGCAGCTTCTGTTGTCTTGATATTTTTGCTCGCCTTACAGAAATACCTGCAATGTGGCTGGAACCTGAACAACCTGGCCATGATGAACCCATCGGTTCTGACCCACGTCACAGCTGACATCTGTGGGATGACGCTGCCGTGGCTCTATGTTGGCATGTGCTTCTCCTCCTTCTGCTGGCACATTGAGGATCACTGGAGCTACTCCATCAACTACTTGCACTGGTACAGCTCGACAAATCCTCGCTGTTTTACTGGAAGGAATAACTGGTTGAGCTGATGTGGAGGGATCTTTGTCTGCTTCCAGGGGGGAACCTAAAACCTGGTACGGAGCTCCTGGCTTTGCAGCAGAGCAGCTGGAGGAGGTGATGAAGAAGCTGGCCCCAGAGCTGTTTGAGTCTCAGCCTGACCTGCTGCACCAGCTGGTCACCATCATGAACCCCAACACCCTGATGGCTTATGGAGTCCCTGTTTGTGTTCTTCTTCTTTCTGCTCTTCATCCACACAAACACGCAGCTGATCCATTCACCGTATGACCCGTCTGTGTGTTTCAGATCTACAGGACCAACCAGTGTGCAGGGGAGTTTGTCGTCACGTTTCCCAGAGCTTATCACAGCGGCTTCAATCAAGGCTTCAACTTCGCTGAGGCGGTCAACTTCTGCACCGTAGACTGGGTCAGTATCTCTGTTCTGACAGAGACGTTTCTTATCTGGGGTTGATGGTTCAAAGGTTCAGTGTCTTCTTTTGTTCAGTCACCCAAAAGTAAAACGTATCAAATCTTCTTTTACATTTCACCTTTAATTAACCAGCCATGAACTCTTAAGAGCAGATTCTCTTACAAGTATGTCTGTAAATTATGCCTCTGTATTCCAACGGAGGTTGGATGGTTTTTTTTTTCAACAATGGTGCGTTTTGCAGCCAGTGTAAACAAAATTTGACTTCTATATAGATAACTAAGTCTCGCTTTAACCTTAGATTGCAAAACATTAACATGATGTGAAAAGGACAGAGCACCGTCAATCCAAATTCCCAAATATTGATAAACTGCTACCTCTTCTATAATATCCCATTTACAACAAAGTCCATGCTCAATAATCCAGGTATACAATCCAACATTTTTCAGTTATGTCATCTGGACAGTTTCTTTTTTTGTGCTGAAACGTTTCGCCTTCGGTCCAGAAGGCTTCATCAGTCAAGGAAACACACAACAAAACTGATTCTTCCCCCAACAGCTCACTCCAAAATAATCAGTTTCAAAAATCAGTTTTGTTATGTATTTCCTTGACTGATGAAGCTTTCTGGACCGAAGGCGAAATGTTTCAGCACAAAAAAAAAAGAAAGTGCCCAGATGACCTGACTGAAAAATGTTGGATCCCATTTACAGTTTTGAAGTCCACCGAGGTGGGTTTGGTCCCTCCTCCATTACCGAACCACATAATTTTAGTTTTCTTGGCATTTAAGGACAAATTTAAGTTGAAAAGGCCTAATAGATTTCAAGAAAACGATACGCAAAGGACTTCACAACCTCATTCAAAGTAGAACCAAAGGCATGTAAAATAGTGTCATTGGCATATTAATGAATGGAGACCTCACTAACAGAATATGAGATCATTTATAATCATTTGTAAGTATGGAGAAAAGAGATGGACAAAGAATGGAGCCTTGGGGTACACCTGACATAACCGGAAGAAACTGTGAATTATGAAAGTCAACCTTCATTTGCTGCGAGTGCGACCTATTTCTTTCAAATCATTCAATCAGAAACATTTCAAATTTTCAAAATAAAAAGGCTCAGACCGTCAACAGTTTTCAGTTTTTGCTTTTTAAACTATCAAATAGTTCTTATCGCCCACCACTGAAGGACAACGGATCAATGTTTTGCCCGTGTGTTTGTCTGTTTTGTTAGCAAAATATTTCCTGAACCCCTCTTCAGATTTGAATGAAAGGATTTATTGGATGAACAACTACACCTTAATTAACTTTGGAGTCAACCCAGTTCAATATGGCTGGCACAGCCAGCTGACGTTAGCTAACAGCAATTACTATAACTCAGTTTTCAGATAGTGAGCTCAGATTCAGTGTGGTAGTTGTTGAGATTGGTAGTCAACATATGTTCTGAGTGACATCTTGTGATATTTTGTTATTTTTAGGTTGAACCAAAATGATGACAGCTCCGACATTTATCAACATGTTAGCATAAACTCTCACATGGAAATGCTTCCTTCAAACAATGCAAAGCTTTTAATTTAAATAGTTAAATTATGTTCCTGCCCCTGCAGCTACGCTCTGGGACAGCCCTTGTCAGATTTTATTCATGAGCAATCAGCAGGGATTAGAGGGAAACGCCTCCAAACCGTCTCTGTCCTCTCTGTCCATCAGATGCCTCTTGGCAGGCAGTGTGTGGACCACTACCGTCTGCTGCACCGCTACAACGTGTTCTCCCACGATGAGATGGTGTGCAACATGGCCAGGAAGGCAGCCACACTCAGCGTGGTTCTAGCCTCTGCTGTCCACAAGGACATGGTCCTCATGGTCAAAGAAGAGCAGGAACTGAGGGACAAAGTGAAGAAACTGGTATGACAAGGCCTTTTCTGTCAAGTTTGCAGATCTCAAGGTTTCTTATGCCGTAATGTCCTGATGTTCTTTGGCTCTTTAGTGTTTTTCTGCTGCACTTGGTCTGTAAAGTGACATATTTTGAGTGCAGAAGGATGCCATGTTCTCTACCCGCTGCTCTGTACCTGCTGCTCTGTACCTGCTGCTCTAAAACCTGCTGCTCTAAAACCTGCTGCTCTAAAACCTGCTGGTCTCTACCTGCTGTTCTCTACCTGCTGCTCTCTACCTGCTGTTCTCTATATGCTGCTCTCTACCTGCTGTTATCTACCTGTTGCTTTCTACCTGCTACTCTAAAACCTGCTGCTCTCTACCTGCTGTTTTCTACCTGCTGTTCTTTACCTGCTGCGCTCTACCTGCTGCTCTCTACCTGCTGCTCTCTACCTGCTGCGCTCTACCTGCTGCTCTCTACCTGCTGTTCTTTACCTGCTGCACTCTACCCGCTGCTCTCTGCCTGCTGCTCTCTACCTGCTGTTCTCAAACCTGCTGTTCTAAAACCTGCCTCTC